CAGAAAACCTTTTAATATTTTATAAGAAAAGTAGCCACATACAGGGCTTTTCAGAACCAGTAATTATTCACCCTTTTGAAGATGCTACCAGCAATAGTCAGGACTGAGCTTGGGACTCAAGACCCTCCCTCCCTGGGTGGCACCAGCAGGCCTGAAAGGTATCAGTGGTGGCCACAGGTAAGTCCCAGCTGGTCAGGGGAGAGGGAAAAGGGAAGGAAAAGCCTGTGAGAAGAATGAGGAGAGATAACCTCTCTTCTCGTGGATTTTCAGGAGGTACCATTAGATTTGGAGCTTTTGAATGCAGGGGGTGGGACCTTATCTTCTCATGCCCTTGTCCCATACCTGGCATTACCTCGATTCCTACTGATAAAAATGCAGCATTTAAAATAATTTGCTATATCGTCAAGACCTACATGGGGCAGTCGGGATGAACTGGTTCTTAGGTTGGAAAAACTCAGTGTGGTGCAGAGCTAGGTTTTATTCAGCAGGTTTGGTTGACTCCACGCGCTCAGCTAAATTCGACTCTGTGTGGAACTCACAGGAATCTGGGAGGTCCCTGGTGCTTTTTCCCTGAGATGCACGCTGGAAAGTGTGTGGAAAGAACCCTTGGGATTCCTGATCACGTCAACCTGATACCAGTTATGGCTGTGACCAACACCCACTCGTTCGACTAAGCTACCTCTAAGATCAGAAGTGGGTCTGAGACACAGTAGATGCGTGATAAATAATTTTGAATAACTGATTAAATGGCATTTTAAATAGCAAAATCTTGCTTGGGCCTATAAAAGGGATAGAAATATACTTCACACGTGACGACGCACATGTGCACCCAATGTTATGGGCTGAATTGTGTGTCCTCAAAATTCATATGTTGAAGTTCTAACCCTGAGCACTTCAGAATGTGACTATATTTGGAGACAGGGTCTTTAAAAAGATAATTAAGTTAAAATGTGGTCATTAGGGTGGGCCCTAAATCCAGTATGACTGGGTTCCTAATAAGAGGACATTTGGACACAGTGACAGAGGAAGGACTGCGGAGGCACAGGGAGAAGACGGTCATCTACGTGCCAAGGAGAGAGGCCTCAGAAGGAACCAACCCTGCCCACACCTTGGTCTCAGATGTCTTTCCTCCAGGACAATTAGAGAATACATTTCTGTTGTTTTAGCCACCCTGTCTGTGGTACTATGGCTGCAAACTAATGCGCATGAGGACTGTAAGATGTACATATGGAACCAAAAAGGTCCATTTTCATACTGTGGAATTCCAAAGACTAACTATCCAGGTACAGCGAAGCTGTTTTAATCATTTAAACACTTTTTCTTGATGTCTTTGAAATTAGATGGTTTTATTTTTACCTTTTAAAAATATCTTGAATGGGTCAGGCCTCTTTTACAAAAGCTTTGGAACGTTGGACACGATGTTTTGTGTACTTGGTACATTTCCATGTAAGAGTCAGAAGCTGTCCTGCTCGGCCCACAGGTAATCCTGGGGCAGCTATTAGCAAACTTTTTAGAAATGGGAGCCTCTGGAGAGGAGGGACTCTTAGATATGCTCTTTTGCTGACCTTGGCTTTCCTCGCACTCAGAGCAACTTCAAGGACATCTTGGGAAGAGAAAAAGTGTCACTAAAAAGCAGCCTGTAGGGGCATTTGTGGAAAGGGGGCAGGGCAGACGGGGGCATATTTGTGGGCTCCTAGTAACTTTTTCTACCACTTTCAGCTGAGAAAAGGTCCCAGGAAATAAAGCAGTTTTCATCAAGGTTTGAGGAGTGCTCTAGTCCAAAAAGAAGTTAAATGGCACAGGCACACATGTAATATTTCATGATAAAATAAATGCAAATAAGTCATAAAAATAAGACGAGCAATCAGGTAAGACAAGATGAATCCAAGGATGAGCTTCATAGCAAAAAAGTGTGCCGTGAAGTCCCTGACTTTTGCTCGTGGCGAGGCACTGATTTAGTTTTTGGGAGTTTCAGCTTTCTGGCAACTCGGTCAAAGAAAGACATTTTACTAGTGACATCATTCACAGTGTCCGTGAAGGAAGCACAACGACTCGTGACACCGAGGGCCGAGAAAACCAGCCTCTCTTAAATCCGCAGGTTAGATGGTTTCATATAACCCTTTTCTGTTCAGTGAGAACTGGAGGTGTTATGCTCAACTTCATTTCACCAGAAGCAGTTTTATGGAGTTGGCAGGGGAGAGGTGTTAGTAAAATCAACACTGAGTATAAAATCAAAGGGAGCATATACAGAAAGAAAAATCTATGACAATCTATTTTTTATTTAGTTGCATATTCCCAGATTCACCAGGACGTTTTGGGACACTTTCTTGCTCTATGCCATATTTTGGAATTTGACACTGTAAGGGGCTTCAGTAACCAAGTCCCCCATTTTTTTCCTAGATGGAGAATCTAAGACTCAGCAAGGCTAGGTCATTTTAAGGTCGCACAGTGATTAGTAGTAGATCTGAGGACCAGAATATGCATTTCCTGCATCTCAGCCCAATGCATTTGGACATCAAAGGATGCTTAAAAGTCCAAGTTTGAACTCAAGCTTTCAGGGGTCATTAAAACCACGTTAGTTGTAAAAAGCCTTGCTTTTAAGCATTCAGCTGAGTGCAGACAGTTAAATGCAGAGCGGAGCTGCTTTTTCTACGAACAGGTCACTTTTCTATTATATATATTGTACCTGTTGACACTCCAAAGATCAATTTTTTTCCTAACTGCCTTATTGTTCTACTCCAGAATTCGTTAGAAGGACCTTGTTATATATAAACACTGTCTTTGTTTCGGTGCCAGGGAAAAGCATTCACGTAGATGTAAGAACATTTGCTCTTCATAAGATTTGAAAAGAGCAGAGGAGTATTTTTTCCTGACTGGTTCATTCTTTTATGAAAGAGTTATTTCTATGATATTTCTTTGGAGAACTCAAAGGGATGTGTTTGCTATTGTATTCTGGAGCAAGGACTTGGAAGACAAGATGTTATCCTTTGTAGAAAAGCAATCACTTTAGAGTATAAAAACAGAAGTAGGCAGAGCAGGAAATATCAAATTATCTCAGATCAAGCATCCTTTTAATGTAAAACATTTCGTTTCGAAGCGAACATTTGGAAAAGGATTCAGGCGCTGTGCTCGCACGTGATTTGTGTGGAGGTGGAATTCCAGCACTTACAAAATTGCATTCAGGTGATCTTTATATTTCTTCCCAGTTCTTCCCTGCTCTGAGTTTGGTTTTTGGTAGTTTTCTGTTCCCCAAAGCTCTGTTGAAAAAGGAGCAGTATCTTACTTTTAGCTTCGTCTCAGTTCCCAAGTCTGTGTCTCTGCTTCCTATGGATAGGCTGCACAGATCCGTAAGGCTACCAAACAATTTTCCAGCAAATAGGTGTGACTTCGACTGGACACAGGGATAAACCAGAGAACGAAGAACTATGTAGGACTCCGACCAGAATTGCACATTCCTGTACGTCACTGGGGCCGGATTCTGTTTTCATTACCCATCTTCGGCTCAGCAATGGCTCAATTCTGATCCCTGCCCACTCAGAAGTAGCATCCTTGGGGTCAACTGTAGGGGAATAGGAACATCTGCATCTTTGGAGCATCACTTGAATACTAAAAAGCCTGTGTTTTGGGGGTTCTTATCAGAGTCCCGATTTTAGTGGAAGGGCATTTATTTATTTATTTATTTTTTTAATGAATTTTTATTTATTTTTTTGTTACAGATATTTTACCTTTTTACCCCATTGGCACCCCCCACCCCACCCCCCTCCACCCTGTCCCCGGCTTAGTTGTCCATGTCCATTGGTCATGCATACATGCATATAAGTTCTGTGGTTTATCTCTTCCCACCCCCACCACCCCCCATCCCCCATCCCCTCTTCTGAGGGATGTCAGTCTGTGCCCTACTTCCATGTGTCTGGGTCTACTGTATTCCTCAGACTGTTATGTTCATTATATTCCGTATATAAGTGAGATCATGTGGTATTTGTCTTTTTCTGCTTGGCTTCTTTCACTTAGGATAATACTTTCCAGGTGGAAGGGCACTTATACATACTTGTGTTGGTATAAAGAGTCTGTCCATTTATATCACCCAAATTGCCTACATTCTGAGTGGTTGAGGTATAGGATCTCCTTAGCTATGTTTACACCATTTCCAACTTCCTGGATTTAATTTATATTATTTAAAAGCTTTTATCCATCCATTAAAAACACCACCACCCACACAATTTGTTGAGGTCCTAGAATGTGCCAGCTCTGTGGCTTAAAAATGATTTTAGCACTTGTAAAAATTAATTTAAAATATTATTTACAGGCAACAGGACAAATACTAATGCTAACAGTAATTGAAAAAGAAAACAGATTGCACCTGGCCGGTGTGGCTCAGTAGATGGAGCACTGTCCCGTGAACGGAGTTCCCGGTTCAATTCCTGGTCAGGGCACATGCCCAAGTTGTGAGCTTGATCCCCAGTAGGGGGCGTGCAGGAGGCAGCTGATCGATGTTTCTCTCGCACATTGATGCTTCTATCTCCCTCTCCCTCTAAAAATTCTATTAAAAAAGAAAGCAGATTTTGTGTGATTGCAGCTATATAAAAATGTGACAAACCAGATATAGAACAAAAAGAAATGAAGAATTCTATATTAGGTTTGAGTGGCTATAGAAGAGTTTTGTCCTTAAAGGTAATTATGATTTTTAAGTTGTTTTCAAACAAATATATATTTAAATATGCATATCATTCAAACAAGATAATTCTGAATAATTCAAGTTAGAATTTTCCCATGTTCTTCGCTTCTGTATCTCCAATGCCTCACCTACGGTCTGGCACATAAAGGTTTGGCCAATCTTCGTTGAATGAAGTAATTCAAATTTAAAAAGTATAGCTCCTTTATTAATTTGGACTAATTGCCTCATCGGTTGATCTGACTTTCACCGAAATGCCTGGCATTTACCTTGCATGTAGCAGGCGACACTGTAATGGATCATTCTGTTCTCTTTGTATTATTTATAGGGATATTTTGCACCATTTCCCTCTGCACTTACGCTGCCAGCATCTCCTATGATTTGAACCGCCTCCCGAAGCTAATTTACAGCCTGCCTGGCGATGTGGAACACGGCTACAGCTGGTCTATCTTTTGCGCCTGGTGCAGTTTAGGCTTCATTGTGGCAGCTGGAGGTCTCTGCATCGCTTACCCATTTATCAGCCGGACCAAGATCGCACAGCTCAAGTCTGGCAGGGACTCCACGGTATGACTGTCCACGCTCGCGTTCACTGCCCAGAGGCCCGTCCACAGTGTGGACGCCTCCTGAGGGGGACAGAACGGACTTTGCGTCAGGATCCCAAGCACAAAGCGGTCTTTTACATTCCAACCTGTGGCCTGCCAGCCCTTTCTGGATGACTGATACAAAATCATGCAAAACCTCCACACCTTTCGAAGGACGAGACTACTGTGGCTTGAAGTGCTTTAATGACTCTTTATGCTTTGACTGTGAGAAACACGGAGCAGTGCCATGGAACATTTCTAGGTTTAGAAAAAGAGGAGATGGCAATGGGAAAATTTGTATGATTGCCATTTATTTCAGAAAGATTGTATATAACAGTGACCTGAGAGTCATTTCTATTTGCAAAAGGGTTCATAACAAAGCAAGTATAATTTTCTTGTCACTGTCCCATGCTTGTTAAATTTTAATACAGCATCTTCAGATCTTGTCCTGATGGTGTCTCGTTGTGTCAGCCCCAAATGTTCATGTCTGTGGATGTTCCTCGTCACAGGAAGATTCCTCTTCTGTTGCCTTATTTATTTTTTAATTGAAGTCTCTTTTCCGTCTCTGTACTAGAATCAAAATCATAAGGAACAGATCGACCATGTACGAGCTAACCTGTGCCACTATGCAGTATTGTGGGAAGTCCTACCTGTCGTCCAGCCTCGGTCTCTTTATGTTAACTGGGTTTCTGCATTAAACAACCGCCGCCTTGTTAACTGGGTGTGTTTGCCTGTCTTTCAGCTGTGGCAACAGGTTTCGCAGCCATATGGACAGATAAGAACCTGGTTTTAATAAGGCTATAATTAAGCCTTACTAATTGTTTCATTTCGATTAGGCTGGTCGTTATTATTTATCTTTTGTATGTAGCAAAAGATACACTTGCTGTGGAAAAAAGATGTCATTTTCAAATTCCTTTCGAAACCTTACCATAGTATTTGAAATTTTCCTCTCTCTCTCTGTTCCTTTACCATCTGCCTGGTATTTAGCCAGTAATGAGGATACAAGGTCTCTGCTTTTCTACCTAGATCACCTAGGCCATAGGTTTCAGAATCATTTGCTCATCAGAATCATCTGCACCTGATTTCTTGAACTGCACCTGAGCTGGACCCCACGCTGGACCAGTTAACTCAGAATGTCTGCAGCTGGGCTTGGGCTTGCGTGTTACTGAGAAAACACCCAGATAATTCTGATGTGCAGCTGGGACAGAGAGCCCCTGCTCTGGGCCAGAGCTGCAGCTACTGCCTTGGCAGCTAACATTTATTTAGCTCTTACTGTGTGCCAGGAACTGGGCTGTGTTTGTTCCAGGTATAATTGCATCTCATCCTCTCCATCTCTGACTTAGGTACTATTATTTTATGTTCCTAATAAGGAAGTCGAGTTCAGACTTAGAATGCTTGCTTCATTTTCCCCCTCAGTCCTTTTCCTGTGTGTGGATATTGGAAGGACGCTTGAGTCCTTGCATTGTGTTTCCTTATCGTTAAACGGGAGGGTGGGCACCAGCTCACTTCCGAGCTTCCCCTCCTAACTCCACCACTGTCCTCTAGTCCATCGTTACGCAGCGCGCGAGGAAAATGCTCTTCAAAACGGGAGAAAGGCCATACCCAGAAGTAAGACTTCCAGATTCTCATTGCACAAAAGGTACACTTTTTCTTCCTTATAAAAACTGATTTTGTACTCAAAAGGATAATGATAACCCACCCTCCTCCCCTGACAAATAAAGCCTGATTTCCAAGTGACAGTGTCCATATAAGGTGACACGAGCGTTTTGGAAGAGGGTAGATGACCCCGGAGCCCGCCCGGGCTCTGGCCGAGGCCTGTGGTGTGCTGGCAAACTTCAGGCCTGTTGAATGAACCACCCCCGGATGAGATCAGAGATATACAGCAAGGGGCAATTATTTTTAGTTAGTACTCATGTGGGGAACTCTCAAAGCAGGAGAGCTTTTCTTTGAAGTCTTCTTTAAAGATCCCCATGGAAGATGTGGAGACTCTTGGACATTTATATTCCAACCACCCAAGCAGTGTCTGAGTGACCGACTTTTGAAGTTTCTGAGAAGCTTCCTAGGGGTCTGGCGTGAGCACGGAAGAAAGCCTTGGACTGACAGAAGGTTGAAGGGTTCACACACCAGAAAGATTTGCCCAGAAGGGGGAACGGTAGTGAGGATTCAGACGTGGGCTGGCAAGAACAGAGCCTCCCCGCCTCACAGCCAACGTGAGCGCAGAGCGAGGAGCCACGTGCCCGAGGTCCCTGGCTTTCTATTCACTGCCGGGAAGGGACACCACACGCTGCCCAAGTCCAGCGTTGGCCCCCAGTACTGGAGCTTCTCTTAGGGTTATTTTCTTAATTGGCTTGCGAAGGAAGACAATTGCAATGGCCCGGTGGTCCTGCGTGGGGCAGGTAATTGATTGAGACACTTTGTTTTTGCTCCTTCTGTTCTCTCTGCGCCTCTAGTTGCCTGCCTGCAGCCAGACTGATTTGTTCGCCTTGGGGTTTTCTGCAGGGCGGGGAGCAGAGGTAGCTGAGCTCACTGCGGGAGGATGCAGGGTCCCGGAGGGAGGACAGGCTAGAGGACTAACTGCGGGCTGGCGGAGCTCAAGGGCATCCCAGAGACTGGACAGAGAACAGAGCGGCCACCAAGTCATTAGCTAGGCCTCGTCCTCCCTGACCAATCAGCGAGGCAGGATAGGTAGATGTCAGGAGAATTCCTGACAAGTGGGAAAAGGGAAACTGAGACAGATGGTTAGACAAATAGGGCCAAATAATTGAGCCAATTTATAGCCAGCTGGTAAATTGCAAGATCTTATCTTCCCTAAAACAAGGACACCTGAGGGCATAATTGGCACCTCTCCCCTAACCAGAGAGTAAATAGCTTAAATCACCCTTGTCAGGGAGATAACAAAAACCCACTTAGAGCCAACCCAACCCCGGGATGAACAAGATAGGGGAAAGAATAACAAAAAAACCCAATTAGAACCAAACAAATCCAAGATAGATGCAAAGCTGACTGGAAAATGACCCTGGCTCCTCTATGCACCCATTTTGGTACATCAACATATAATTAAAAAACACACCTGGGCCCCAGGCAGCGTGGCCCTGTGGTTAGAGCACTGGCTGTACACTGGAAGGTCACAGGTTCAATTCCCAGTCAAGGGCACGTTTCGGTTCGATCCCCAGCTCTGGTCAGGGCTGATGCAGGAAGCAACCAATCAATGTGTCTCTCTCACATGGATGTTTCTCTCTACCCCTCCTCCCTTCCCTTCCACTCTCTCTGGAAAAAAAAAAAATCAATGGAAAAACTATCCTTGGGTGGGGATTAATAATACCAACAAACCACCTGGAATTACTCTGCTAAAGTATTCTGAAGTAAAAGCCCTCAGGACAAAAGATGCCAGTGTGGGCTCTCTCTGGAGCATGCCCACACCATTTCTTTCTGGGACATGAACTTTCTCCTAAACTGTGTCCCCACGAGACGTGCAACCAGGGAGCAATGGGCAGTGGCAGCTCGTCCCAGGCAGACCCCCTGACTCTGTCTTCAAGGCCCCTTTTCTCTGATGTTTCTGGAGAGCAAAGCAGCCTCGCCTAGGCTCTCCTGTTGCCTCTATCCCAAGCCCCTCCCTGTTTCACTGTCCCCTGCTTTAATAAACGTCAGCTGGACATTGCCTGCACTTATGTTGTGAGATCTTTCCCGCAGAGTCACGGACCCACACACTACAGGCCGGCCTGTGGCAGACCCGTGCCTGGCTTGGGCCCTTCTGGTGACATCAGGACCTCAGAGAGGATGGCTCTGTGGGGCATCAGGGATACTGGGGCCCTTGATACGATGGTTCTCATGCCCCGACCATGAACAGCAGAACCAATGGCCTAGGAGGACGGTGCCATGGAATAAAGGGTTTCTCAGTGATCGCCAATTTGACCCTTGGAAGGCCCAGGGACATTGGCACAACTGTGTGTGTGTGTCCTGAAAAACAATTGAGGACACATTTCCCCAGTCCTGCAAGATAGAGCTTTGAATAGAAAGTGGATTTACAGAACTCCTGGGATTGTAAACTAAGAACCATGTCCATCTGCCATATATAGACAACATTTACCAAAAAAAAGGATGCTTTGCAATAGGCCCCAGAGACCCCTTCTTTTAACAGTGTTGTTCTTGGTTTGTTGGCAACGTTAGAACCAGTGCGGCCCCTCCCAGGGAAGCCTACACCCTCTTCCTTCGGAGCACCATGGACCTTTGATAGTCCAAAGTCCAGGATGTGGCGAACTGACATAGAATGTCTTTTCTCTAAGAAAGTTGTTATATCGCTCAACAAATATTCGCTGAGTGCCTACCATGTGCCTGTAGGCACTTGGGAAGCATCACAAAAGCAAAACAGGCAAGGGTTCCCGCCCTTGCGAAGCTTAGTCTAATAAAACGCACTCAAGTGCAAGTAAAAAGTTAGACACTATTTCAAGCCCTAAATGTTTTCATGAATCCAGGATTACAGTTATTTGATATCGTTATTAAAATAAGTTTCTGTTGAATTACATTTGCACTGGCTGTACATTTTACTTTATGTCATTCTTATTTGAATTTATCCTCAGCAACATGTAAAGTACATTAACTTTTTTTTTTTTTTTTGCTTCTTAAAGACTTCCCATTTAAAACTTAAATCTGAGAATGACAAAGGTATACTGCACAGGTGAGCCTCTGTTACCTGAGCTAAAGATGAAGAGGAACTTGGGATCCTGGAGACTCAGGAGGCCACAAGGTCGAGGCCAGGGCATGAGGGACGCTAGTGCTGCCTGGTCACTGCCTCCCGGCTTTGCTCAGGCTGTCTCTGCTGAGTCACCCCTTCTCTGCCTGGTTCATGCTGACTTTCTCTAGTGACTCAGCTTCAGCAACACTCTGGATGCCTGCTTTGAACAAGCTACACTGCTTTAACTCCTGCCCATCCTCATCACCTGTTCACCCCTAACTGGATCAAAGACCCTTGTAAGGTGGAAACTCTGTCTTGTTCATACTTTGTCTCTAGAGCTTAGCCCTGGAAAACAGTAGGTGCTCATACATCTCTGTGGAACAAATGCATAAATTCAGAGTCACAAGGATAGACTCTCATCTTCCCTGGACAGAACTCACTCCCTTAGCTCCGATTTTAGGGAGCCTATAAAAAAATATACAGTAGTAAAATCGGCTAAATGGAATGAGAATATAGCTTGGTAAGCAAGTAAGCTTCATTATAATAATTAAAGGGGCTATTAACCCAAACTGACCCAGATTTAACTTGAAATGTGTTATGAACAAAGCACCGTGGAACATTTATTTGATGGCTCAAACAGCGTTACGTTAGTAACCCCAGTATGGTTTCACACCTCAGCTGAAGGCGTCCCCATTTATGTTCAGGGATGTTTTAAATCTCTAATTGGAATTCTGAAAAGATTGTTTCAAAAATGACTTCCTTTAAATGCAAAAAGCTATGCTGACCAAGAACCATTTAAATGAATTGTTTGAATTTCTGCAGGCTCCTCTCCTTTGACCAGAAAGAAAGGATGTTCTCCTTGCTGCAGGGCAATTGCCAATTTTCCAAGATGCCCAGGACACCCCTCTGTATACCGGGAACCCCGCTAGCCAATGCGTTTCCTCTCTATGCAACCTGTGTTTTGCCAGCCTTCAAAGAAAGATTTCTAATTGTTCTTAAACCTATTAGACTATGTCTTCTTGAAGCTTCCACAGTGGAAAACAAA